CTGGATTCGAACCCGCCACCTTAGGTGTATGTGGCTGGTGCCTTAGCCACTTGAGCCACAGGCGCTGAGCCAGGTTTATTTCATCTTACATTCTCACAAGATGTTAACACTACCTGGCTATAATGAGTAATATATATTATATATATTTTTTTGACACAGAGTCTCAAACTGCGACCCTGGGTAGGGCAACCTCAAACTCTCAGACTTAAGCAATTCTCTTGCCTCAGCCTCCCAAGCAGCTGGGACTACACGCGCCTGGCACAATGTCTGGCTATTTTTTGGTTGTAGTTGTCATTGTTTGGCAGGCCCAGGCTGGATTCGAACCCCCCAGCTCCGGTGTATGTGACTGGAGTCCTAGCTGCTTGAGCTACAGGTACTGAGCCTATGAGTAATATTATGCTCTAAGTTGTGAAGATCCCATAAAGAAAATAGTTACTAGATAGCATCACCAAATTCACATATTTGGTCTCAAAATAAATCCACTACTCAATAAGGTATTTGAGTTGATATGGCAATGGGTGTGGTATTAGAAGGAAACTTGTAGAAGAAAGCAAACTTAACTTACTTGAATTTCATTCTTTTGAGCCAGTGAAGACTTGTTATATTGCCTGCTCAGACAGACATCATTGAAGTAAATAAAATTTTTCAAGATAATGGGAGTGAGAATGGCCTCTTCTTTCACTATACAGCAAATAAAGCCATGGGAGAATTCTGAGGGTGGAAACCATTTTATTCTCACACATAATACAGTACTATTACAAAGAAACAATTACAAGTGACTCACATGCTATATTTCAATTATGCCCACATCCCCAAATATTTATTTCATTTGTTAGTTCATTCCTTAAAGACAGGATCAAAGGGATACACATTTATTAACACAGACCACAACGTGAATGAAGTCTCTTGGAGTTGCTCTAGATAGAAAACCTGCACAAAGAGCTCCTTCAAAATGCAGACTGAAGTGCAAATCCAGCTGAAAGGAAAGGCACTTCTGTGTAGCCTGGTGGTAACTATTTCCCTTCTAATGTCCTCTGTGTGCCAAGAAGAGAGAATGATTGGTTGAGAGAGGGTAAAGCGAAATTTTTAACTGAGATATTTAACAAATGGGATGCTGCCATCTACATTGAGCCTCTTTCGTTAGTATGTATATGTGTATTTTTAGACACAGGGTCTCATCATGTTGCATAGCCTGGTCTCAAACTGCTGAGCTCAAGTGATCCTCCTGCCTTGGCCACCTGTGTAGCTGGGACCACAGGCATACACCACCATACCCAGCTTGACTTAATTTATTATGTCATGAGATCATAGGTAAAGCAACTCTGGTTTAATCTTAGAAAAGTTGATTTTCTTTTTGACATAGTTTGTGATGGGAAAGGTGGTATAGAGGCGCTGAAGAAGTCCTTATAATAATCTTGATTACTGAAGGGGGAAGGAAGTCTTGCCCATAAATTACAGATGACATAAATTGTACATAATAAAGAACAGATTATGAAACAAGGTATTTTACTTGCACAGCACAACTTTTCATAGCACTGAGTATATCATTCCCTCCTTTCTTCACTCCGTAACTGGTTATCTTTCTTCCTGTTCATGTATATTTAACATAAGTACCAATGTTTCCTTCAGGTTATACAGCTAACCCAGGGGTAGCATAAGACTTCATAAGCATTTTAGTTTCTAAGGCTGATGAAGTTTAGTAATAACTGCAACCCCTTTTACAAATGTAGCAGATGGCAACAATCTCCACAGCCATTTATATATTAGTACAAAAGCAAAAAGAAGTTTATTTGGTATAACTTCCACTGCACTGTTAAAAAATACAAAAAGGAGGACAGCACTTGTGGCTCAAAGGAGTAGGGCACCGGCCCCATATGCTGGAGGTGGCAGGTTCAAACCTAGCCCTGGCCAAAAAGAAAAAGAAAAAATACAAAGAGGAAACATTGATGTTTAGTGTAGGAAATCTTGGTAAATGTCAGTCTATGCTCTGTGAGGCATGTGCACCACTAACTAATGCTCACAGTTTTATTAAATGCTTGTCATTTAGTAAATGACACAGAAAACATACGGCACACTCAAAATATTCACTCAAGAACCTTTTAAAATGGAACTATTTACAGATATGTTCAACTTAAAAAAATCGAACCAGTAACGGGGATTTGGACTACCAGTAGTCCAAAGCAGCGGTTCTCAACCTGTTGCGACCCACAGGAACTGTATTAAAGGGCCGCGGCATTAGGAAAGTTGAGAACCACTGGTCTGAAGAGTAAGAAGAGGGAATGTTGTTAGCTGAGAGCTGGAAAGACTCAGAGCTGAAGAAGGGAGCTGCCGCATATAAGAAGAGGAAACTGGCAGAATCACAGTCCAGAATGACGGAGGGTGAGGTAATAAACATTCCCACCTCTCTCTACTCTCATGCTTTTATTTCTTTTTGGTATCTCTCATTGTTCAAATCTAAGAAGAAACCCCAGTGAAGCAGTCTCTTAAAGACAGGCTTGGGCCATGCAGGGCAGACAAGGGTGGAAAAAACATTCTGGAGAAGCTGAGAACAATCGGTGTGTACACAGAGCCATAATGGGTGAACTTCCTGTGGTGTGCAGAGCCACTATGGGTACACTTACTGTTGTATACAGAGGACAAGCACAATTCCTATTGTGTAGCTGCTGCAAATGCAAATCACCTGAGCTCACTAACTCAGATGATGCAGTCTGTTCAATTACTTTTAAAGATTTATATTTAAGTGCTGTTCCAGTCATACACTACTTCTAAATATATCATAAGCCCCAAATATGCTACTATTATTTTGACTTTAAAAAGTCAATTACCTTTTTAAAAGATTTAAAAATGAGAAAAATCTTTTATATCTACCCACATATTCACCACTAACAGAACTTCATTCCATTATATAGATCCAAATGTCCACTTTGTATTATTTTCCTGCTGCCCCTAAATGTCCTTTAATGTTTCCTGCAGGTAGGTCCACAAGTGGTAAATTCTCTGACTTTTCTGATTTGAAATAGTCTTTATGGTCATTTATGAATTTTTTTTTTGAGACAGAGTCTTACTTTGTCACCCTTGATAGAGTGCCATGGCATCATAGCTCACAACAACCTCAAACTCTTGGGCTCAAGAGATCCTCTTGCCTCAGTCTCCCAAGTAGTTGGGACTACAGGTACCCACCACAGTGCCCAGCTATTTTTAGAGATGGGTCTGGCTCTAGCACAGGCTGGTCATGAACTCCTGCGCTCAGGCAATCCACCAGAGTGATAGGATTATAGGCATGAACTCCTGCGCCCAACACTGAAAGATGTTTTTGATGGAAATAGCATTCTAGTTTATAAGGTTCATTGTTTTTTTCCCCCTAGTAATATAAAGTTCCTTTGTATTTCTGACTAGAAGTATGCTACATATTATTTTCTCTAGATGTTTTAAAATTATTCTGTTTTCTTGTTTTATTCTGAGACAGAATCTCACTGGGTAGAGTGCTATGGCATCATAGCTGACAGCAACCTCCAACTCTTGGGCTCAACCAATCCTCTTGCCTCAGCATCCTGAGTAGCTGGGACTATAAGCACCCCACCAAAATGTCTGTCTACTTTTTCTCTTTTTAGTAGAGATAGAGTCTCACTCTTGACCAGGCTGGGCTTAAACTCAAGAGCTCAAGCAATCCACCTGCCTTGGCCTCCCAGAGTGCTAGATTTAGACATAAGACACCATACCCACCAAAATTATTCTCTTTATGGTTGCTTTTGATCAATGTGACTGTGATGTACATTGCTGTTATTTTGTTTATTCTGCTTTGTGTTCTTTGAGCTTCTAGAATATCTGTGTTTTCATCATATTTGGAAAATTTTCAGCCATTATTTATTCAAATACTTAAGCCTCTTCCCTTTCTCCTCTTTCTGAAACTGCAATTATATATATACACATACATATTATGCCACTGTAATTATTTTCCTATTCTCTATTTTTAAAAAGTCTTTTCCAACAAAATGTGGTATATGTATACTATGAAATATTATCCAGCCATAAAAAGGATGAATTAATGCCTTTTGCAATAATTTGGATGGAACTAGAGACCATTCTCCTAAGTAAAGTATCTAAAGAACAGAAAAACACCACATGTACTCACTATTAAGGACTAAACAATGTGTACACATGTGCATAGAAGGAAGTAAAATTCAGTGAATGTCAAGCAGGGTGGAGAGGGAAGGAGAGGATGGAGGCAAATGTATCTCATGGGTAATAATGAACACTATCTGTGCGATGGGCATACTTACAGCACTTACTCCAGCAGTACAAAAGTAATCCATGTAACCAAAAACATTTGTACCCCTGTATTATTTTGAAATTTTACAAAAAGTCTTTTTTCTCTCTGTACATTATTTGGATAGTGTTTCTTACTTTTCAGGTTCATTGTTTTTTTTTCTTCCTCTCTGTCTAATCTGACTACCCAGCATTTTAAAAATGTAAGATATTGTTATTTTTATCCTCAGAGGTTCCATTTGACCTGTAAGAATATATCTTACACCTCAGTTTCCATCCAATTAGTGTTTTCCTCTACCTTATCTATGTTAACATTATTGTCTAGTAATTCCATCACCTGTCTTTACCAGGTATTTCTATTGCCTTTTTCTTGTGATTATGAGTCCTATTTTCTTGCTTCTTTGTACATCATGTACATTTTTTGGAATGCCAGGCATTCTGGGTCCACAACAGCTATTAACCTAGGGCTAATTAATCTCATTACCATAACAATATCCTTCTGAAAATTCTACCTAATGCCCCATATTGTTATACTTTGCTACTCTAGCTGATGGGAACATGAGCTATTCCCAGTCCTGCATGTACCCCAGGACTGTTCAGCCTACTACTTTCCAGTACTTCTTTTCCTGGACTCAGGAAGTTTCTTTCACATATCTGTAAATGAGTACTAGGCTAGAGTGCTCAGGGGACTCCTTGATGATTTGTGGAGCGTCCACTCTGGGAAGCTCCCTCTTCTCCAGTATTTCCCCTTGCAAATTACAGTTACTATGGCTTTCCCAAATGCCAGTCCTACCTCTTCAATTCAGCAAGGCTTTTGTTCCCTTCTCTGAACTACAACTTGGTAACTGTCATTTTACAGTAGGCTGGGTAGTCATGGGGTTCACCTCACTTCTTCTGTGTCATCCAGGGATCACAGATATGCTTTCTGTATGGCTAAAAACCATTACAGTTCATATATTTTTTAGCTTCTAGCTATTTAAGGCAGGAGTGTTAATCTGATTCTTGTTATTCACCACAGCAGAAAGCAGAAGTCTTCATATTTAAGTAAATATACCTGCCATTTAAAATTCACTACTATTTACAATAATTTATATACAGTGAACACAACTTCCTCACAGAATTATTTCAATAAGGTCATGCTTATAAATTCTTAAAATTATTAAGATTACTCTTTTGTCTGAAATCTCTAATACTTCATATTCAGTATTTTCTTTCTGTAAATATTTTCTAGTGTACACTCAGTTATCCTCTCTTGATGAAATCTTTCACTCACTTGTTACAACATTACGTTTTTTCCTGTTTAGGTCTTTGTGACTTTTGCTGAAAGCTTCTATATAATCTACTTCTACACAATATTATCAGTATTCACCTTGATGACTAACCCAGAGTGTAATATATTATCTTCTGGGAGAAGGCTTTTCTATATCATCTACATTTTAAAAACTTTTCCCCTTTCTGAATTTTGTTAATTCAACTCCACAATTATAGCTTTTCTAATGGTCACTGCCTCAATAGGATTTCTCTCCTATATGTCTCCTAAGAAGTGTCAGAAAATAACATCTGAGACAAGGTTTTCCATATTTACTGCTCACTCTCACATGGTTTCTTCTTCTTCTTCTTCTTTTTTTTGAGACAGAGCCTCAAGCTATTGCCCTGGGTAGAGTGCTATGGCATCACAGCTCACAGCAACCTCCAACTCTGGGGGTTAAGCAATTCTTTTGCCTCAGCCTCCCAAGTAGCTGGAACTACAGGCACCTGCCACAACACCTGGTTATTTTTTGGTTGTAGTTGTCATTGTTGTTTGGCAGGCCTGGGCTGGATTAGAACCCATAAGCTTTGGTGTATGTGGTTGGTGCCTTAGCTGGTTGAGCTACAGGCACCGAGCCATGGTTTCTATATTATATGATTTCTCTGATGTATCATAAGCTGTGACTTCCTGTTGAAGGCGGTCCCACATTCACTGCACCCATAGTACTTATCTCCTGTGTGAATTCTCTGATGCCTCATAAGGTGTGACTTTCTAGTGAAAGACTTTCCACATTCACCACATTTATAGGGCCTCTCTCCTGTATGAACTCTCTGATGTATAATGAGCTGTGCCTTCTCAAAGAAAGCTTTTGCACAATCACTGCATCTGTAAGTTTTCTCACCTGTATGGTTTCTCTGATGCTTAATGAGCTGTACTTTCTGAACAAATGCTTTCCCACATTCACTGCACTCATAGGGTTTCTCCCCTGTATGGATTCTCTGATGCCTGAGGAGCTGTGGCTTCCAGGCAAAGGCTTTCCTACATTCACTACATTCAAAGGGCTTTTCTCCAGTATGGGTTCTCTGATGATGAATGAGACTTGACTTCTCACTGAAGGTCTTCCTGCATTCACTGCACTCATAGGGTTTCTCCCCTGTATGTGTTCTCTGATGTGATATCAAGCTTGACTTCTGGGTGAAAGCTCTCCCACATTCACTGCATTCATAAGGTTTCTCCCCAGTGTGAGTTCTCTGATGTGTTAGGAGTTGAGACTTCCCAAAGAAGGTTTTTCCACATTCAACACATCCATAGGGTTTCTCTCCTAAATGAATTTTCTGATGTCTCATTAACTCTGACTTCTTAAAGAAGGCTGCATCACAATCACTGCACTGATAATTTTTCTCTCCTGTATGAGTTACCTGATGCTTAATAAGCTGTGGTTTTCTGATGAAGGCTTCACCACATTCATTGCACTCATAAGGTTTCTCACCTGTATGAATCCTCTGATGCCTAATGAGAAGTGAGTTTCTACTGAAGGCTTTTTTACATTCGCTACATGCATAAGGTTTCTTCCCTGTATGGGTCCTCTGATGAGTAATAAGCTGTGACTTCCAAAAAAAGGCCTTTCCACAATCACTACATTGACAGGGTTTCTCTCCTGTATGTGTTCTTTGATGGGTAATGAGCTTTAATTTCTGGGAGAAAGCTTTCCCACACTCACTGCAACAATAAGGTTTCTCTATTGTATGGGTTATCTGATGTCTTTTAAGCTGTGACTTTCTGCTGAAAGCTTTTCCACATTCACTGCATGCATAGGGCTTCTCTCCAGTATGAGTTCTCTGATGTAAAATGAGCAACGACCTCCTACTAAAAGCTCTTTGACATTCACCACACCCATATGGTTTTTCTCCTGAATGAGTCCGTTGATGAATAGTGAGCAATGACTTCTGTGAGAAGGCTTTTCCACATTCATTGCACTGATAGGGCTTCTCTCCTGTATGAGTTCTTTGGTGTATAACAAGCTGTGATTTCTTGTTAAAAACTTTGCCACACTCCATGCACAAATAGACTCCTGTATGTGTTATATGATTCATTATAAGCCATGACTCTTTACCACTGGCTTTTCTACATTTCCTGCAATTACAGTATTTTACTCCACCATGAGTTCTGTCAGATTTAATATAACATGATATTTTCTTATTGAGCTCGTCAAGTTTCCTTCTTTCACAGTTATTTTTTGAAATAAGAACATCAAAAGGATGTTTTAAACATTTTTCACCTGTGCCACATTTATGAGATCTTATTCCTAAATGAACAAAGTTCATGCTCGAATTAAATATTCTCCCCAAAACATCATATTCACAATCACTCTCCATACTTTTAAGTGTGTCTTGATCATCTTGGTGCAGCATTTTGCATTTGTTATCTAGCCAGACTTCTAAAAAAGGAAAAAACAAGCCATACTGTGTAATTCCCCCAGTGATTATGCTTACTGAATATAGCTCTTCTGACATGGAGCCAGGATCCCTGTCCCCCCAACCCAAAACAATTCCCTCAAATAATGTCTACTTATTGGGCATTGAAAATTTTCTCAGAAATGAAAATGTATTTAAAAATTATAATTGTTTAAAACATAAAAACATAATAAGGAAAAAGAAATATACTCAAGGAAGAGTAATCATAAGATTAAAAAAATATGAGCTCGGCACCTGTAGCACAGTGGTTAAGGTGCCAGCCACATACACCAAGGGTGGTGGGTTTCAACCTGGCCCCAGGCAAACTAAACTGCAACAAAAAAATAGCTGGGCACTGTGGCAGGCGCCTATAGTCCAAGCTACTTGGGAGGCTGAGGCAAGAGAATCGCTATTTGTGAGACGTTTTCAAGACTCATAGTGAGTCTCAAAAAAATATGGAGCAATATCTAATTAAATGCTGGGATGACTGATTTACTTATTCAACAATAATGTCTTCTGTATATATAACTTTATTAATAAAATATCAGTCAAGTGGACAAGTAAGTACCCTACCACCAGAGACCTTCACAATACAGTTAAGAATGCAAATAAAGGCTCAGCGCTTGTGGCTCACATACACCTAAGGTGGCGAGTTCAAATCCAGCCTGGGCCCGCCAAAACAATAATGATGGCTGCAACCAAAAAACGGCCGGGCATTGTGGCGGGCACCTGTGGTCCCAGCTACTTGGGAGGCTGAGGCAAGAGACTCGCTTGAGCCCAGGAGTTGGAGGTTCCTGTGAGCTGTGATGCCATGGCACTCTACCCAGGGGGATAGCTTGAGGCTCTGTCTCAAAAAAAAAAGAATGCAAATAAAAAGAACATAATACACAGTTGAATTATATAAAACAAGAAATACTGGCTATAATAAAGAATAAATATAGGGTATCAATTTTCTCATCTTTGCCTGAAAGATGAGAAATACTAAAATTTTTTTTTTTTTGAGACAGAGCCTCAAGCTGTCCCCCTGGGTAGAGTGCTGTGGCATCACAGCTCACAGCAACCTCCAACTCCTGGGCTCAAGTGAGTCTCCTGCCTCTGCCTCCCAAGTAGCTGGGACCACAGGCACCCACAACAACGCCTGGCTATTTTTTTTTTTTTTGGTTGCAGCTATCGTTGTTTGGCAGCCCCGGGCTGGATTCGAACCCACCACCTTAGGTGTATGTGGCTGGCGCCTTAGCAACTTGAGCCACAGGCGCAGAGCTGAGAAATATTAATTTTCTGTACTGTTGTTACATTTTAAAACATTCTCAAAGTTATTACATGAATCACAGATGTCCATACTCAGCATTATTAAAGCTACTTTTTGGAATTATCTGTGAGTTCTCTGGAGCTCAAGATCACCACTTGAAATTTCTTGATATTTACTCCTTTTGTATTGGACCTACAACTGAATCTATCATCTCTATATTGAATCTATATATAAAGCTATCAGTAGAACTCAAACCACAATAATTTTTTGAATAGTATTATGACAGATTTTTTTTTTTTTGCCCTGTAATTACAAGTTTTTATGATTTTTTTTTTTTTTGAGACATAATCTCACCACGTTGCCCTTAGTAGAGTGCCGTGGCATCACAGTTCACAGTGCCATGGCAACCTCAAACTCTTGGGCTTAAGAGATTCTCTTGTTCAGCCTCCTGATCAGCTGGGACTATAGGTGCCCACCACAATGCCCCGCGTTTTTTTTTTGCTTGCAGTTGTCCTTGTTTAGCAGGTCTGGGCCAGGCTCGAACCCACCAGACATGGTGTATGTGGCTGGCACCCTACTCACTGAGTTACAGGTGCCTAGCCCAAGTTTTTATGATTTCCACAACATGACCATTTATTGAATATTTTAAAATGATATTTTAAAGATTTGTTTACTTTTTTTTTTTGAGACACAGTCTCACTTTGCCTTGGTAGAGTGCTATAGTGTCATAACTCACAGCAACCTCAAAATCCTGGGCTTAAGCATTCTCTTGCATCAGCCTCCCAAGTAGCTGGAACTACAGGCACCTGCTACATTGCTCAGCTATTATTAGAGACAAAGTCTCACTCTGGCTCTAGCTGGCCTCAAACCTGTGAGCTCAGGCAATCCACCCACTTCAGCCTCCCAGGTGCTGGGTTTAGAGCGTGATCCACTGCTCTCAGCCTACTTTAATTTTTTTTTTTTTTTTGGCAGTTTTCTGACCAGGGCTGGGTTTTGAACCCACCACCTCCAGCATATGGGGCCAGCGCCCTACTCCTCTGAGCCACAGGTGCCGCCCCAGCCTACTTTAATTTTTAATGATATTCTTTTCTAGCAATTATGTGGTAATATTCCCAGGAAGTATTCTGCCAGATGAAAGATTTGGTAGGTCTCAAATAAAAAATAATTATTTTCTGAGGGGTAATTACTTTAGGGAAAAAAGCTTCATCCAATTCTCAGACATCTAAATTTCAGATGAAGCACCAAGTAGAGCTGGTGCTGATACAGAATGATACAGAGAAGAATGAAAGGAAGACTCAATGTCTTGAGCATAATTAAATGAAGATTCATTAAGATGAAAAAGACTATGGAAAAAAGTTTGGAGATCAAAAGCAAGAGTCATATGTAGGCTTGGCGCCTGTGGCTCAAGCGGCTAAGGCGCCAGCCACATACACCTGAGCTGGGCGGCACCTGTGGCTCAAGGAGTAGGGCGCCAGCCCCATATACCAAAGGTGGTGGGTTCAAACTCAGCCCCGGCCAAAAACTGCAAAAAAAAAAAAAAAAAACCAAAAACACACCTGAGCTGGCAGGTTCAAATCCAGCCTGGGTCTGCCAAACAATGATGGCTGCAACTAAAAAATAGCCAGGCATTGTGGCAGGCACCTGTAGTCCCAGCTACTTGGGAGGCAGAGGCAGGAGAATAGCTTGAGCCCAGGAGTTGGAGGTTGCTGTGAGCTGTGATACCATTGCACTCTACCCAAGGCAACAGCTTGACAGCTATGTCTCAAAAAAAAAAAAAAAACCCTGAGATTTGGGCGGCTCCTGTGGCTCAAGGAGTAGGGCGTAGGCCTCATATACGGGGGATGGTGGGTTCGAGCCCGGCCCAGGCCAAAATTGCAAAAAAAACCAAAAAACAAACAAAAAAAACCCCGAGAGATTTACTTTTCACTGTATGCTGTAAACCTGATTATTTCTCACCTGAAAAGTTTTGACTCAAGATTTCTTCATCCATTATCCATGCCTCTTCTTGCTCCAGTTTAAAAATCCCAGCAGGTTTGATAATTTGATAACCTGTTGATTAGAAACACAGAGGACTTAGAACCAATTGCTTAGGCTGAGAGACCTGTAAATATGAAGAATTTTTTATTACAAAGGATGTTAAATAAAGCAAGTCAATAAAAATCTTTCAATTTGGCATAAAAGTCAAAGAATTGTTGACATCTGAAACTTACATCCAAAATTAGTAAATACCACAGAGGCCCTACAGACACTAAATTACATAAGAAGAATGTTCTTACCCAAGAAAATTAGATGGCTATAGTTCTCCAGCATAACATCTCTATACAGGTTTTTTTGGGTAGGATTAAGAAGCTGCCATTCCTCCCATGTGAAATCCACAGCCACATCCTCAAATGATATCTGGAAAAGCATAATCTCAGTTAAATCTGAAGCAATTCTGATTAGGTCTCAGAAGATACAGGCTTTCTTTTCTCCTTGTGGTGGGAAGCTTCTATGATGGCCCCAGTAACCTCAGATCCTGGTATTCATCCTCCTCTCCTGAGTATGAGCTGGACTTACTCACTTGCACTGAATAGAATAGGATAAAGTGATGGGATGTTACTTCCAAGATTGGGTTATAAAGCATGTGTGACTTCCATTTTACAAACTCTTTCTTTCTCTCTCTGGGGGAATCTGGCCACCAAACATGAGGCAGCTGGGTGGAGAGGCTCCGTGGCAAGTAACTGTGGCTGTCAAGAGCCATGAGAATGAGCTTGGGGAGGGGGATCATCTCCCCATTGCACCTCAGATGATGGTTGCTCTTCTCAGTATCTCAATTAATGCATCACATCAGACCCTAAACCAGAGCCCTTTGAGTAAGGGACTGGCAGATTCCTCAACCACAAAATTGTGAGATAAATATTTGTTGTTTTAAACACTGAGGTATCAGATAATCTGTTATACAACAATGGATAATACAATATCATAATCTTGCATTATGCTTGAACAAAGAAACAAAAATGTTATTATTTATTATTGTGAATTCATCTAACCATCCACCCATCATTTGAATAAGAAATCAGAATACAGCTCAATTTATAATCTCCAAGACATGGAAACAATCTACTTTATTTATTTTATTCATTTATTTTTTTGTGGAAACTATCTAAATGCCTATCAATTCAGGAATAGGTTAACAAATCTGTGATATATGCATACCATGGAATACTATTCAGCCATAAAAGATGATGACTTTATATCTTTTGTATTAACCTGGATGGAGTTAAAACACATTTTTCTCTGTAAAGTATCACAAGAATGGAAATCCAAATATCCAGTGTACTCAATACTAATAAGAAGCCAATAGACTAATTCACACCCATGTAGGAGTAAAACTCATTTCAATTCAAGTTGGGGGGAGAGGGAACAAAAGAGGAAGGAGAGGGGAGGGGGATTTTGGGTGCTCCCACTGAGCAAGCACAATGTAGGAATGTGTGGCACACCTGTTGGGTGCAGGACATAGCTACAAGAGGGCCTCTGCCTAACAAAATCAAATATTGTGATTTGGTTGTTTGTACCCTCACATTAACCTGAAATTAAAAAGATTTTTTAAAAAATGATAAAATATGGGCGGCGCCTGTGGCTCAGAGGAGTGGGGTGCTGGAACCATGTACCAGAGGTGGCAGGTTCAAACTCGGCCCCTGAGGAAAAAAAAAAAACTGCAAATAAATTAATAAATAAAATATTTTTTAAAAAATGATAAAATATGAAGAATGTAGTGTTCCATGGAGTCAGAAAACTTCTTCTCTGGTACTTTTGAGCCTCAAAGCTTAATTTATACTTATGTGTTCTAATGATGTCTTTAAAATAACCTCAGACTTTATAGCCTTTCATCTCTTGCTCCTAGAGTGATGTAATAATCTTCTGTTTATTGCATAAGAGTCTGAGTTCATTAAAATCACCATCAGACTAAAAAAGAAAATCAAATCAGGTTAGATTTTCCTTAAATACAGTGCTTCTCAAAGTAGGTGCTCTGGTATTTAAGAAGGGTCCTTAGCTGAGCAAGATTGTCACCCATAGTGCAAGGCCTTCAGTGTGACTGGCCTCCAATTCTAAATGACAATAATATCTCAGCCACTATCAAAACCTAAACTGCATGTACATATTTAAAACAGTCTCCTCCCCCAAAAAGGTGGCTCATGCCTGTGATCCTAACTTACTCTGGGAGGTCCAAGGCAGGGGATTGCCTGAGCTCACAGGTTTGAGACCAGCCTGAGCAAGAGTGAAACCTCTCCCCATCTCTAAAAATTGCCAGGTATTGTGGTGAGCACCTATAGTCCCAGCTATTTGGGAGGGTGAGGCAAGAGAATCACTTGAGCACAAGAGTCTGAGGTTGCTGTGAGCTGTGATGCAACAGCACTCTACCAAGGGCAACAAAGTGAGACTGTCTTAAAAAAAACAGCAAGAACTGGTGGCGCCTGTAGCTCAAATGGGTAAGGCGCCAGTCACATACACCAGAGCTGGCAGGTTTGAATCCAGCCTAGGGCTGCCAAACAATGACAACTACAACCAAAAAATAGCTGGGCATTGTGGCAGGCACCTGTAGTCCCAGCTACTTGGGAGGCTGAGGCAAGAGAACTGCTTAAGCCCGGGAGATGGAAGTTGCTGTGAGCTGTGATGTCACAGCACTCTACCCAGGGTGATAGCTTGAGGCTCTGTCTCAAAACAACAACAACAACAAAACCCAGCAAGAACAACAAAAGGTCTCCTCCCTCTGTGGGTAGTTCTGCTCCTAAGTAAGCATACCTAGCCACTTCTTTTAGATGTCTGGTACCACACAGATATTGAGCAATTAAAGTTCCAAGAATGGTAACAGGTACTAGAAATAAAAATGAGTAGAAAAAAATCATGTTATTAGACATTTGGCCACACGTAATAAGGTATTACTGAGGCTATGAAACAGGAATTCACAGAATATGCAGACAAAACAAGGGTAAAAATATTGGCTATGAGGACATTAGGTTAGTTGTATTAAAGATGATAAGGCTTAGGAAGAGTCCTAAGAAAGCCCTAGCTACAGAGCAGGGTAGGGAAAAGACATACCAGGAGCAGCAGTATGAACAAAGGCATGGAAACAAAGTGTGTTTCCTCAGTATTCAGGAATATAAGAGACCATGGGAGAGACGTGGATTCTTTTAAAGTGAACTGAAACTGAGTGAGGTAAGCAGAGGCCAGCTTTCATCTGAGCTCAGATAAACTTAAGCATTGTACCCCAGCACTTAGAAAGAACATAGAAGACAGGCGAAAAGCTTAGAGCAAGTTCAAGAACAGAGGCACAATAGGATATCTTCCCTGATAAAACTGGAATGCCAAAGAAATACTCAGTGTTTGCATCAATGAAAAACAAACATGAAAGAAAACTGACTGCTTGCATCAAACCCTGGTATTACAAGTGGTTAAAAACTGTCCTCTCTGGCTTGGCGCCTGTGGCTCAAGCGGCTAAGGCACCAGCCACATACACCTAAGGTAGCGGGTTAAAATCCAGCTCGGGCCACCAAACAACGACGGCTGCAACCAAAAAATAGCCGAGTGTTGTGGCGGGCGCCTGTGGTCTCAGCTACTTGGGAGGCTGAGGCAGGAGACTCGGTTGAGCCCAGGAGTTGGAGGTTGCTGTGAGCTGTGATGCCACAGCACTCTACCCGGGGGACAGCTTGAGGCTCTGTCTCAAAAAAAAAAAAAAAAATTCACAGTAAGGTTTTTGCAAAGAAAGTCTTAAAGTGGTTTTGGGTTGTAAGTATATTCAGGTATCTGGAAGAATCAAATGTATATTCTCTCTCTTTTTTTTTTCCAGACAGAGTCTCAAGCTGTTGCCCTAGATAGAGTGCTGTGGCATAATAACTCACAGCAACCTCCAATTCTTGGGCTCAAGAGATCCTCTTGCCTCAGTTTTTCTATTTTTGGTACAGATGGGGTCTCAATTTTGCTCAGATAGGTCTCAAACTTGTGAATTCAAGCTGTCTATACACCTTGGCCTCCCAAAGTGCTAGGATTACAGGCATGAGCCACCTCACCTGGCCTCAAATGTATATTCTATCTACAGAAAGAGATCCAAATAATTCCCATAAATAAAGTTTCAAGAAAAATGAATGTGGAGTAAAAAAGATACCAAACTGCATACAAAAATTGAAGCATCATGAGAGAAAATTTAAAACTAGTAGGGATATGTATAGACTTGAAGTATTTGAAAAGAAATATCTTTAATATATACAAAAAACAAAAAAGGTTAGCAAAAAGTACAAAAAAGGATGAAAGGACTATATAAATGCATAAGGAGATCTGAAAAAGAACCAAATAGAACTTTCAGCAATAAAATGTATGATAAATAAAATGAAGAAGTCAATGGATGGATTTATGAGTAGATTAGAAGGCATGATGGCTAACACCTGTAACACCAGCACTCTGGGAGGCCAAGGCAGGAGGATCCCTTAAACTCAGGAATTCGAGGCTAGCCTGAACAAGAAAACTAGCTGGGTGCATTGTGGCAGGTCCTTGTAGTCCCAACTACCTAGGAGTTTGCTGTGAGCTATGATGTCATAGCAATCTATCCAGGGTGACAAAAAAATAAAAATAAAAAATAAAATAAAAGAGTAGATTAGAAAAAGATGATAAAGAGGGAATAAATGAACTGGAAAATCAAAAGAAATTAATGAAGTAAAGACATAGAAATGGAAAATATAAAGCAATATGCTACATGCTGCTTACAAGAGATGCACATCAAAGACAAAAGTAGTTTGAACATAAAAAAACTCCCACGACTTGATTTTGTATATAACCACAATTATTAATACAGGGTGATATAAGTGAAAGAATAAATAAATAAATCAATGGAACAGAATAGAGAGCCCACAAATATATTCAATTTTTTACAAAAGCACAGAAAAGCAATACCACAGAGAAAAGAGTCTTTTCAACAAATATTGGAAGAACAATTGTATGCTTATAAGCAAATGAATAAACCTCAACACATTCACACCTTTTATCAAAACTAACTCAAAATAGGTAACAGATCTAAACATAAAAAAGTACAAATCTTATAAAATAAAATAAAAAAGTATAAATCTTTTAGAAATGAGGAAAAAACCTGTATGATCTTGGGTTTAGCAATGAGTTTTTTTGATACAACACCTAAACCCTGATCAATTTAAGAAAAAAAATGATAAATTAGCGTTTTTCAAAATGAGGAGCTTTCACTCTGTGAAAGACAATGTTAAGAGAAAGGAAAGACATGGCATAGACTAAGAGAAAGTATTTGCAACTTATTTGCTAAAGCACTCATCCAGAATGTAAAGAATTCTTAATAAGAAAACAATCTAATTTTAAAAATGGGCAAAAATCCTTTTTTTTGAAGCAAAGTCTCACGA